ATATTTTATTGATTATGGTATTATACTTGCCCCAATTGTTCTCTCCCCTTGAGCCCCCTCCTCCCTGCACTCTCTCACCCTCCAGCACTACACTCCTGTCTTAGTACATGTCTGTGGAAGTTCATGTCCATGGGTCGTGCATATATGCTCTTTGGCTTCTACATTTCCTATACTATTCTTACCCTCCCCCTGTCTATTTTGTACCTACCATTTATGCTTCTTCTCCCCTGTACCTTACCCGCCATTCTCTACCTTCCCCCTCCCCACTGATAACCCTCCATGTGACCTCTATTTCTGTGATTTTGTTACTGTTCTAGTTGTTTGCTTAGTTTTTGGTTTTGTTTTTTAGGTTCATTTGTTGATAGTTGTTAGTTTGTTATCATTTTGCTGTTCAAAGTGTTTGATCTTCTTCAATTTTTTTAGAGAAGTCCCTTTGACATTTTGTGTAATCAGGGCTTGGTGAGGATGAACTCCTTTAACTTGACCTTATCTGAGAAGCATTTTATCTGCCCTTCCATTCTAAATGACAGCTTTACCAGATAGAGCAATCTTGGATGTAGGTCCTTGCCTTTCATGACTTGGAATACTTTTTTTCCAGTCCCTTCTTGCCTGCAAGGTTTCTTTTGAGAAATCAGCTGATAGTCTTATGGGAACTCCTTTGTAGGTAACTCTCTCCTTTTCTCTTGCTGCATTTAAGATTCTCTCTTTACCTTTAATCTTGGGAAACTTAATGATGGTGTGTCTTGGTGTGTTCTTCTTTGGGTCCAATTTCTTTGGATTCTCTGGACTTCCTGGAAGTCTATTTTCTTTGCCAGATTGGGGAAGTTCTCCTTCTTTATTTGTTCAAGTAAGTTTTCAATTTCTTGCTCATCCTTTTCTCCTTCTAGCACCCCTGTGATTCGGATGTTGGAATGTTTAAAGTTGTCCTGGACGTTCCTAAGCCTCTCCTCATTTTTTTTGAATTCTTGTTTCTTCATTCTGTTTCAGTTGAATGTTTCTTTCTTCCTTCTGCTCCAAAGTGTTGATCTGAGTCCTGGTTTCCTTACTGTCACTGTTGGTTCCCTGTACATTTTCCTTGATTTCACTTTGCATGGCCTTCATTTTTTGCCTCTATTTTGTGACCAAATTCAACCATTTCTGTGAGCATCCTGATTACCAGTGTTTTGAACTCTGCATCTGGTAGGTTGGCTATGTCCTCATTGCCTATTTCTTTTTGTGGAGCTTGGATTGATTCTTTCATTTGGGCCATATTTCTTTGTCTCAGCACGTCTATTATGTTGTAAGGGGCAGAGCCTTAGATACTCACCAGGGTGGGGCAAAGCACGTTGCTGAGTTGTGGTGTGTATGTGGGGGAGGGGTCAGAGAGGGTACAATGCTGCTTCCTTGGCTCTCATCCCACTTTCTGTCACTTCCCTCGCTTCCCACAAGTGGATTGTGCCCTTTTAGGTGCCAATTCACAGGTGGGTGGGTTTCTGTATGTTTTAGGACCCCGTGAGCTTCTCCTACTGACTCTCATGTGAGGCTGGGAGTATCCCTTGTTGCTACAACCCAAAAAGATTTTTTAAAATCCCAGGGTGTTGAGTCTTTAGTTTCCCACAGTGAGCCCTGAGTTACGGTCTATCTCATTCCCCCATTGTTTCTCCTGGTTTATCTGTGCAAGACTATGGGATCACCCATGTGGTCTGCTGTCTTGCATTAACACGCATCCTCTCCTCCATGAGTACCTGTCTCCGCACCTCCTACCCATCTGGATGAACGTTTCTCTAATTCCTTGGCTGTCGAATTTCCATGTGAATACTTTTCTGGCAGTTCTGGTCATTTTTTGTTTTAAAATTGGTTGCTATCCTTCTTTTGGTTGTGTGAGGAAGCAAAGCATTTCTGACTATGCCTCCATATTGGCTGGACTATGCAGTAGAGTTCTAATTTCAAGGCACTTGCTGAGAGAATATGGTTGGTATCAGTCCATTCTTCTTGCATTTGTTGAGGCTAGTTTTGTGATCCAGCATAGGATCTAGCCTTGAGAATGTCCCATGTGCACTGGAGAAGGGTGTATAATCTCATGATCTGCGAAGAAAGATTCTGTATATGTCAATTATGTTCATTTTATCTAATGTGTGAGTTAAAACTGATAATTCTTGATTGACTCTCTGTTTGGATGATCTATCTGGAGCTGTCAGTGGAAGATTAAGGTCCACAACCATGATTGTGTGTTGGACTGTTTCTCCCTTTAGCTCTGTGAGTAATTGCTTTATAAATTTTGGTGCTCCCTGATTGGGTGCTTACATATTAAGAAGTGTTTTCTTCTTGATGTAGTGTCCCTTTACCATTGTAAAATGTCCATCTTTGTCTCTTTTTACCTTTGTTATCTTGAAATCTATTTTGTCAGTATCAGTATGGCTACAGATGCCTTTCTGTGGAGGTTATTTGCTTGGAGAATTATTTTGAACCGTTTCACTTGCAATCTACCTTTGTCTTTGCAGCTTAGATGTGTCTTTGAAGGCAGCATATGGTTGGGTTTTGTGTTTTGATCCAGTTTGCTAGTCTGCGCCTCTTCACTGGTGAATTCAGTTAACTGGTGGTAATTATTGATGTATGAGCATTTCCTATAGCCATTTGATCCTTTGTTTTCTGATCATTCTGTGCCTCCATAGCTTCATTTCCTTTGTGTTCCTGCCAATAGATTTTGTTTGGTGGTATTCCATGCTTTTTTGCTCGTATTTTAAAGCTAAGTTTCTCAGTTTTTTTTTTGTGGGTGTGCTACCATTAAGTTTATTTAAAAAGTTGCATATTTACAGTAGATTTTCTTTTATTTTGAATGTGTCTGATCTCCATCCTCCTTTGCCAGTTGAAACCTTTGCACCCTCCCCTTTTATGTTTCTGTTGTCAGAAAGTATCCTTGTTTACGCTGCAAGTATTTTTTTCTGTGATCTTACTCATGTTCTTGGGAACTTTACTCTTTGTTTCAGGTAGAAAAACTCCCTTGAATATTTCCTGCAGTGGAGGTTTTCTGGTGATAAATTTTCTCAGCCACTCTGTGCCTGGAAAAGTCTTGATTTCTCCTTGATATTTAAAGGATAAGTTTGCTGGATATATTATTCTTGGGTGGTAGTGCCTGCCATTTTGTATTTTGAATATTTGTTTCCACTCTTTTCTGGCTTGTACAGTTTCTGTTGAGAAGCCCAATAATAACCTGATGAGCTTTCTTTATAGGTCACTTTCATTTTTCCCTGCCTGCTTTGAGAACATTTTATTTTTCATTAATTTTTGACAATTTTAATACAATGGGCCTCTTCAGATTAAATTAAATGGGTGTTCTGTTTCCTTTTGCATCTGAGAATCTAGTTGTTTTCATAGGTTTGGGAAGCTCTCATCCACTATTTGTTTGAATAGGCTGTCTTTTCCCTTCTCCCTCCCTTCTCCTTCTGGTGTACCTATAATTCTCATATTGCTCTTTCTGATTGAGCCTGGCAGTTCTCACAGAGCTCTTTCATTTTTCTATGCTCAGTTCTCACTTGTTTCCTCTGCATCATTTCTAGATTCTTATCTTCAATATCACTAATTCTTTCCTCCATCTGATTGGCTCTGTTTCCTATGCTCAGTAATTTATTCCTGTTCTCCTTCTTTATTGAATGGTTCATCTCCAGGGGTTCTGTTTGGTCCTTTTTTAAACTTTCAGCCTCTTTGGTAAAATACTTATTTTCTTCATTAATTTGTTTTCTGAGTGTATCGAATTGTCTGTTTATATTTTCTCACATGTTGTTGAGTATTTTCAGAACTGCAATCTTGAATTCTCTGTTATTTATATCACATATTTCCCTGTGTTCCAGTTTGCTTTCTGGAGATTTTCCATTTTCTTTCTGAGATGCCTTTCTCTTTCAGTTATTCATGGTATTTGCTGGGCTGCTTCTATGTCTAGGCATCCGTGTATTGGTAATTCACTAGCAGATTTCTATGAAGAGGTCTTTCTACTATTTTCCAGCAGGTGGCAGGAAATCACAAGTTTTTTTGGCTCTGTGAAATCCTAAAGCTGACCTCTATGGCTGCAGTTAGCATGCCACATGCAGCCATGATGTTTGGGGGTAGGGTTTGTTTTGTTCACTCAGTACTGTGACTTTCAACCAACAATGGGTGACCACTGTGCCCCAACAGGGGATCAGTTACTGAGGGAAATAAGGATTTTGATGTCATAGTCCTTGTGTTTACATAGGATCTAAAACCTGTGCTCTAAACCTGATAGGAAGGGGGACGGGGAGGAGAAATCTGTGAGGTTAAGGGGCGTCAGGGCTCAGGGGCTCCATTTCTAGGACTGATACCTAGACATGATATTTCCGTTGGTTCTTACATACGATGCCTTGTGCATGGTTTCTGAGTTTTTTGACTGAGAACCTATATCTCTTGTAACTTTATCTGTGGGAAGTCTTTGGAGGTGAGAGAGTTTGGGACAACCATGTAACCATTTATGTCTCTGTCTCCTACTGGGTGCCCCTCTTTTCTGGCTTGAGCTCTCCCTTGGAGTCTGGTGACACTGTTTCTTCTCTCTGACTGTGGCAGTACCAATGGCTTTTCATTTGTTGTTAGACTTCAGAGGCCCCAACCTTTCTTGTTTGTTCACTTAGTCTTACTTTGCAGATAGTCTTGTCTTTGAAGAGTGTTTTTGAAAATCCCAACTGAGTATATTTTACTTCTTCCAGTGACCCTGAGTGATACCATCTATTTGAAGACAACTTACAAAGTGCTGGTTATTATAGTTATAGAGGAGACTACGTTTGATAGGAAGTAATTCAGGCAAAAGTAATTATGAGGCTTGGGAATAAAAATGTTTCAAAAAAATTATGCCGCAAGCACTGTGGAATGAGAGAGAAAGCTGTCTGCACTTCTGTAAGCCTCCCTCAGCCTGTGTAAAGAAGTCATAAACTCCTCCCTCAGGGCATTGCCAACTGAAGCAATTCCAGGCCCATTCTCACCACCATCACCTGCCCTCCACACCCCCACTTGCTTACCTTGGAGATCTACAAAGTGAGGGAGGTACACAGCTGCCATGGCTCCTGGTTCAGCCTTGATGTCAAACAGAGGCCCTGCCACCACCCAGCTGTGCTGTGGGTCAATCTGGTCCAGGAACTGTCTCCAAGCACAGAATTCAACCTCAATGGTCACTGGCCTCCTCACCACAAAGTGGAGACCTGTGTTGGGCCAATGGTAGGAGCCAGCCACAGGGAAGCAAACTCTGGGAGAACAGGGAGAGGTAGGCAGTGAATTACTCACTCTACACAACCTCGCTGAGCACCTACTGAATGCCCAACCCCATGCATGGCCCTGTGTGTCCAGCAGAGTGGCTGTGAGCTCAGATACCATTGTCAGAGGGATGTGGGTTTAAGTACTGGCCCCTCTGCTCTCTATTGTGGATCCCTGAGCAAGTCACTGATGTCCCTCATCTGTTTTCTTCTTTGTAAGTAAAGTAAGAATAGCGCCACCTCCTGGAGTTGTGAGTGATAAGTGACCTAATGTGTGCTGACAGTTCATACAGGTATGGGTGTGGTTAGCTGTTTCTATAATGATAATGGGATAATAATAATACTAATAACAATAAAATAGGAAAGGGTTATTGTTTTAAGGGGTCCATTTCTCAATACTTAAAGCAATTTATATGGTGATATAAATGATAACCACTTGGAGCTTAAGGAAACACTACACAGAGATCGTACACTTTACCCAGGTTCCCTGTGGGTAAAAAGTGGGTCCCTGGGATGTTTAGCGTCTGTGTGTAAGTTGGGGATAATACTGTCTCCCAGCTGAGATCATGCCTGTGACAGGGAATGGCACTGTGTGATGTAAGAGCTGGGGACTAAAATTATAGACGTTTATTACTTAGGACTGGGAACCCTGTGGAGGCAGGGCTGCCACATGCAGGTCAGGGCTCCTCGTTTCTGGTATGGTCCTTTACAGAGGGGATATTTATAAAGCAGGAACGTGTAGATGGAATGAGATTTAAATGAGATTTATGAGACATAGCAAACCAAATACAATGAAGGGACTTTGTCTGGATCCTGATTAGAACAGACCAACTGCAAGGACACATCTTGGACAACTGAGCAGATCTGAATACAGACTGGGTGTTTGATGACTTGTAAACATTGTTAGATATGATAGTGGTGTTGTGGTTATGTAAGAAAAGGCCTTTATGTGTATTTTTCAAAGTGCATCACAAAATATGTAAGGATAAATCACCTGATCACTTGGATTTAAAACACTGTAACAACAAAATGGGGGAAAGTGAAGAGTTGAAACAAATATGGTAAAATGGTTGTTGGAACCAAGTAATTGGAAAGTAGAAGTTCTTTGTATTCTATTTTTGGGTGTCTTTGAACTTTTCATAATAAAACCTCTTTTTCCATAATAAAATCACCAACCCAGTATCTCAGCCCTGCCTCTGCCTGTTGGCTTGGCAATGGAGGGGACCCAGTGGCTGTGAGTGGGATGTGGAGAGTCTGTTGGGAACCTGTGAGGGGAAGGCGGGGCTTGAGGTAGAGTGTCCTGGCAGAGTGAGTCCCCTCACTCACCGGTACAGACTCTTGCCTTTGTCAAACACGTCTGGAGCCACAGGCCCTGTGGGGCCCCAAAAGTCATCTTTAGGCCCTAGAGGGAGAAGAGAGACAGAAGGGTTCCACCTGCGCTATGTGAGGGTAGCTCTTCTCTGGAATAGCAGGGTGGTGGTCAACTTTAGGTTCTCCTGTCTGGTCACCCCCACTTTGGTTCTCCCATGGAGGGTGCTTCCAAAGGTGGGTCTGCCTGAACCTTGGCAAGCAGTGTGTCTGGAACCTCTGTCCCTGCTCCTGGGGCTGCCTGCCTGCTGTGTGAGGAGGCCAACACTGCTGCCCCCTGACCACACTCTTGCCACTCCCCCTTCTCACTGGTCCAGAGGTATTGCTATTCCAGCCTCTACTAGGAAGGTAAGTTGTGAGAAGAGCACGGCTCAAAAATTGGATGGCCAGGGATGAAGAGAGCACTCCCAGGCCTCCTAGTGTGGGCCTTGGGAGACTGGGCCCTGGTCAGAGTCTGAGACATGCCAGTGATGCCTGGAGAGGAGGGGCCTCAGTCCCTGAGGCTGGGAGAGAGGGAAGCAGAGATCTTGCAAGGTTCCAGGTGCGAATGTTCTTGGATGGGGAAGGGCTGTTTGAGAGGGCATTTTGGCATGTCCTACACCAGAGGAAGGGGGATGGAGAAGGTGACCTTCCACATTCCCCTCTCTTATCCCAAATAATGATACTTCCAGCCTGACCCTTCAAAGTACCTGATTCTGGTGTCTGCCATTTGAGTGGGGATGTGTCATCATCCATCTCTCCTTTACCTGGGGTCTCCTTAGAGCTCATTGGACTTGGCCTCCTAGAGACAGAGTTGTTCATTGTCCCTGAGATGTTGGAGGAAGCTGGTTCTTCCTACATGACATCCCCCTTAAATTCAACTCATCAGAATTTCTACTCATCGCCTCCATCTGAGACTCTCCCACAGGCCCTGTCTCCGTGAACGGCCCCCAACAACCCAGCTAACCAGGCCAGAACTGTGGTGTATTTCTGACTCCTCACTCCCTCTGAGAGCAGATGGATCCATCAGCTGCCTCCAGAATAGCTCTCCTTTTCTAGACCCTTCTCTCTCCCTCCATGCCTTCCACCCTAGTCCTGTACTGGGATCTCTGGCTTGAACCATGTAATCCTCTCCCTGATGGTCCCCTTCTTCTTCTCTTGTCCATCTCTGGACAATTTCTACACAGCAGCTGAGCTTCAATATGAACCCGACCCAGCACTTTGCTGCTGAAGCCCTGCAATCTCTATTACTTTAGGGGTAGAATCAAAAGTTTTTAACGTGGTCCAAAAGTCTACCTGTGCCTCTGTTCCCCCCATTCCAGTCCACAATCCACCTGTGTTCACACTCCCTGCTCACTCACATTCAGTCCAGTGCTTCTCTAAGACTCACACCAAGAAGTTTTTTTTTTTTTAAGATTTTATTTATTTTTAGAAAGGGAAGGGAGGGAGATAGAGAATGAGAGAAACATCAATGTGCGGTTGCTGGGGGTAATGGCCTGCAACCCAGACATGTATCCTGATTTGGAATTGAACCTGCAACACTTTGGTTCGCAGCCTGTGCTCAATCCACTGAGTTACGTCAGCCAGGGCACCAAAAGTTTTTTTTAAAACACAGATCTTGGGCTCACCCTATAGATTCTGATTCAGCAGGTCTGAATGGGGCCTGATATGTCCATTTTTTTAAGCTTTGGAAGCATGGTTATTAAAGCCCGGGACAGGATAACAAGGAAAGGCTCAGGATAGAAGCAACAGGAGAGAGCAGAGGCCAGGCTGCTTTGGTTCACTGGGAAGTCAGAGAAGAGGTGCCTTGGAGGCAAGTTTAAGGGGTTAGCAGGGGAAAAGCTGCCACTGCCCATTGCTCCCTGATTGCAAGACTTCCGAGTCCCCTAGAGTTTCAGATGTGCACTCCTGAGGGAATAGAGAGATGTGGGTGTTCTCCCGGGAGGGAGAGCGTGATGAGATGTGCATTTCAGATGAGCTCTCAGGGATGCTGATGCTGACCCACACTTAAGAGTAGCACTGCTCCTGGTCCCTGGCCTTCTCTGTTCCTCCAAGGAGCTCAGATCAGAGCCTCTACCTCTGCCTGGAACTGGCCCTTCTCAGACCAGCTAAGCCCTCCCATGTTTCAGAGCTCAGCTCAGGCCCTTTGGACAGAGTCCAATAGGCCCATCAGTGCCCTCACCCTGACCCTAGGCACAGTGACACTGGCGGGGGTCACCTGGGCCTGTGTCCCTGCTGAGTGAAGCTCCTGAGAGCTGGGCCCTTCCTCAGAGCCCTGTGTTTAACACACTGCGGGTCGGAGGGGATGCTGGTTCCCCAATAAAGGGGCCTTGCCCTGAGCCTTGGAGCCCTTTCCTTCCACATCAGGTGAGATAGATCTCTCAGAACCGGGACACAGGGCACTTGCAGTCATAGGCCGAATACACAATAAAGGAACAGGGGGTCTGCAGCAGGTTCCCAGGAGGAAGATGGACTCTCCTGTTCCTGAGGTGTACCCCTCCTGCTGGACTGTGGACAGAAGATGTTTATATAGATGAGGGGTGGGAGGGGGGCTTTCCCCCACAAAGCTCTCTCTCCCTGTCTCTGCCCCTCAGGGTCATTGCTTCCATGCTCCAAATTTCACCCACTCCCCCCTTCACTTTTTTTCATTTGTTCATCTCCTCACTCATCTAAGGGAAGGGTTTTGGCAGAGAAGGGACCTAACTGTGTTTGCACTAAACAAAGAAAGAATCTCACTCTGGCTGCTGTGGTTTCTTGGCTCCTTTCTGGCTGTGATTGTCTCTGCCTCCAACCTCGCCCCACCCCCTTTTGGCTCCTGTCTCTGGATCAGCCTCAAGAGGTGAGCCCTGGGCCTGGGTCAGCTCCAGGGAGTTCTGGGTCTCCCCTCTTACCCACTTTCTGTGGGCAGCTGAGGCTTCTCCAGGTTCAGGGACCTCAGCATCTCTGTCACCTGCTCACTCTGCTGGCTCTGGTCCAGGCTGCAAACACAAAGGAAGCCCCATTACCCTGGGACCCTACATGATTTCATATACCTCAGGGCCAAGAATCATGGAATCTTCTATCTCCCACAGGAACCTGTAGTAGGTTGGGTTCCCTGAAGTCAGGTTCTAAGGTGAAAAATAGCATTAGGAGGTTTACAAGAGGTGTTCCTAGGTCAACCCCAGGGCAAAGGAAGGGAGGGAGCAGGACTGGGAAGAAGGACAAGTTGGGCTGTGATGCAGTCTCCAGGGACACAGCTGTCCCTGAGGGACTTCTGATGTGGGAGTGACCCTCAGAGCTGCTGCATACTGGGAGGAGGGGCTGGGTCTTTATATCCCAACACTGGTCAGTAGTTGTATGCAGGTGACCCCAGGAGGTGGACGTGACCTTGTGTGAGATGGCCTCACATGTGAGGGGCCATCCCTGTAGCTTGGCTGCCTGCTTCACTCTCATGTGCTGGGGTTATGCCTTCATTCCTGAAAGGGAAGTGGACAGCACTTCACAGCCGCCACCAGAGGACAGCGTGTTCCCATGGCCTAAAATGAGCACAGATGAGTAGGTCCTGGGGTTTCCTTCCTAGAGTCTAGAAAGTTTTCTGGAAAGACAGAGCCCTGTTCCTGTTCTCACAGCAGTATGTCCTGGGGGTGTCTGTTGCATTTGGGAGCAGCTCCCCACTCTGGGCATCCATGTCCTCATCTCCAACAGGATGGCTCTGCTCTGCCTATTTTGAGCCATGGTCATAGAGGTGAGAAGACCCTGCTCCCTGTAAAGGGTGCACACCATACTCATTACCATTGTCAGAGCAGCTCTCCCCTGGAGAGGGTGTGGGGACACAATGTAGGAAGGGGCCCCTCTCATCCAAGTCCCAGGGCTCTAGGAAGGAAGGAAGAGGCAGAAACTTTTGCAGGATGTCCAAGAGCAAGCTGCTTGGAGGCCACCAAGAGGTACTCAGTAACTGGTGAGTTGGGCAATAATGCAGACCTGGCTCTGGAGAGGCCCTTGAACATACGGGGGTTGTGGTAGCCACAGCTGCCCAGTGCAGAGGGGCTGGGGTGTGAAGATGCTAGCCCCATGGACTGGAGCTCCCTTGTGTGTGAAGGGTCAGAGCTGGCTTTGGGGGACCTACATGTAGAGTGTTTAACCCCTGCTATCCTGCTCTTCCTGCTGCTCTGAGTTGGAGAAAGGGGGGCCTGTTGGAGGAGGAAAGGTTAAGGGCTCAAGCTTTCCTGTCCCCTCTGAGAGCCGGCAACTGGAGCTTCAGCCAAGATCTCAGGGTCAGGACATGAGGTTTGGAGCTCTGCCAGCTCTGAGAGTGTGTGATGTGGTCCCAGCCAGAGCCAAGGGAAAATGTTGCCAGAAACAGCCTGTGAGCTTGTTTTCAGACTGCAGAGGAGAGAGGAAGAGGCTGAGAGGCAGTGTGAGATTAAGGGTCCTTGCACCGCAGCCACACAGGGCTCCAGGGCTCTGAGCCTGTGTCTGTCTCCCCAGTGCTCTGCTCTTTGCCTGGACTGCGGCCCCTGCCTGGGCCTGGTCAGCTGCTGTTTGTGCTTCAGGTCTCAGACTGATGTCACTCCCCAGGGAAGCCCTCCCTGCCCCTCAGTCTAATTCCATCTCCTCCCATGTCACACTCTCATAACACAGTGCATGTTCCCTTTGCAAACTCCATGGGGCTTAGAAATGCACATAGTGTGTTAATATGTGCTTATCATCATGTCTTGTTCCCACTGGAGTGTAAGTTTCAGGATGTCAGGGCCTGTGTGTGTTGCTCACTATTGTCCCCTCAGTGCCTGGCCCTGTGTTTGGGACATGGAGGCATGCAATGAATGAATGAATGAATGAATGAATGAGGCAATGAAGGAAGGAAGTAGAGAAAGGAACATGGGGCCTCACTAGCGGTTATCATTTGATCCTCTCAATTCTCCTAGAAATGTCCTTGTTCTACACACATTTTATATATTACATCACAACTTATGAGGTGAGTATGAGGTTCCATTATACAGATGAAGAAACTGAGTCTCAGAGGAAGGCCTGCCCTTGGCTCATGGTCTAAGTAACTAGCGGACCTGGTACAGAAGGCAGGCTGACAATTCATTTTTTGTCTCATTGTCCAATTCGGGGCCCACATCCCTTTCCAACCTCTACCTCCCTTCCCTGCTCTCTGTCCACAGGGACCCACAGTGCCTTACCGCAGGAGCCTGAGTTGGCAGGTGGGCTGCCTAAGCCCTTCATAGAGCAGCTTCATACCGAAGTCACCCAGGTCATTCTGCCTCAGGTGCACCTTTCTCAGGCTGGGGCTGTCACTGAGCATGGAGGCCAGGTCCTGGCAACAGACAGATGTGAGGCCACATCTGACCAGCCTGTGGGAGAGATTTGCACGGGTCCATCATCACTGTTTGCAAGGCCATCTCCTCAGGGTAACTAGGGTCTTGTGTGTCTTTCTACTAGGTGTCCCTTTGGGGCTCCTTGGTGACATTAAAGGAAGATAAGGGCGTGCCTGGCGGCAGGAACCTGGGAGATTGTAACTTTCTCCTGCAGCCAAGGAGCCACAAAGGATTCAGCTCACCTCCCTTTGTGTGACTCTCACCAACCTTGCCCTACCTGCATCAACTTTATAGGACTGATTTACCCAACATCCCACCTGCATACTGGGTATAATTGTTAACTCATCAGCCAGGCAAATGCCCAGTGAGCTGACATGGGATGCTTTGGTGTGTTTCAATATGAGGGCATCTACCTGCTTCCCACCCCATCACCTCATTCTGCCAGGCTCTCATTCTCTCTGCCCCATCCCCGAAGTAGTGTCAATGAGGCTCAATTACAGCAGTCGGTGCAGCTTGCAGGTGGGCTTTCTCAGCTTCCTGAAGAGGTGCTGGGCTCCGATGTCCAGCAGCTCATTGAAGCTCAGGTCCAGCTTGGTCAGGCTCCGGTTGGTGCTCAGCCCACAGGCCAGGTCCTGGCAGCCCTCTGCTGTGAGGCCACAGTCAGCCAGCCTATGGGACACATGCACCGAAGCCTTGAGTTTACTCACTGGTCATTCCACAGTACAGTATTGATTAGCACTCACTGGCACCTCTCCAGGTCAGGCAGAGGTCAATATGGCACCCAGAAGCCCAGAAGCACACAGGTACTGGTGGGTGACATAGAAACGAAGAGCAGGTCAGCTTTCAGATCTGTTTTTATCAGAAGCCTTCCATATTTCCATTTCCTTTATTCCCACATTTTTATTTTTATTTTTTTATTTTTTAAAGATTTTATTTATTGATTTTGAGAGAGGAAAGGGAGGGAGAGAGAGAGAGAGAGAGAGAGAGAGAAACATCAATGTGTGGTTGCTGGGGGCCATGGCCTACAACCCAGGCATGTGTCCTGACTGGGAATCGAACCTGCGATACTTTGGTTCGCAGCCCAAGCTCAATCCACTGAGCTATGCCAGCCAGGGCCTATTCCCACATTTTAAAAATTGTTCAAGTACAGTTGTCTCCATTGTCCTCCCACCACTCTCCTTCTCCACCGCAGCCATCCCCACTTTCCACCTGTGATCCCACCAGCTTTGGTTTCATCCATGTGTCCTTTATACATGTTCCTGAGAACCCTTCCCTCCCCCGCCCCCATTATCCTCTCCCATCTTCCCTCTAGTTACTCTGTTTGTCCTTAATTTTAATGTCTCTGGTTATATTTTGCTTATTCATTTGTTTTTTTTTATTAGATTCCATGTCTTTTAAGTTAAATTCAAATTTCATGTCTTTGGCTATGGGACCCTGCAGATCTGTCTCCTTGCCATCTTTTCTTCTTATCTTTTAACCCTTTTATGTGACTCCTCGATGACCTCCTTGCTGCTCTTTAAACACTGTGGGCACAGTTCTGTCTCAGGGCCTTTGCACCTGCTCTTCTTCTGCCATGAACAATCTTCTCACCTGATATCTCACTTTGGTGTGTTCTCTCACCTGCTTCAGGGATTTGCTCAATAGCTGCCTTGGGGCAATCTTGCCCCATTATCCTTCTTGTTTAAAATTGCAGCCCCAGCCCCCATTTATTTCGACTTTAATTTCCTCTATAGCCCAAATCACATGCAATATATTTTACTTATTTATTTTCTTGCTGTTTTTCCCTCAAGAATGTATGTTCCATGATGAAACAGATTACATTTCTACTTGTACCCCAGTGCTTTGGGCAGGTCACACATATAGTAGGAACTTAATTAGTATACAGTTAGTGACTGAATGAAATAGAGTGAAGAGGAGCACGTGGGGTGTAGCTGAAAGCAGATGAATGAACAGTAAATTTTGGTCAGGGAAGGAGGAGCAGACATATGAGGGTGCCTTGAATGGTGGGAAGGAGTTCACCTAGATGAGGTGGAGGGAGGGGACTCTCCTGGCTGGCAGAGTGGATGTGAGCTTACAGCATGTGATGTTTAGTGATGCTGTCAGAAAGTCTACATTGAAGGGAGATGATGTTTGAGGGTAAAGATAGAAAATATGAAGATGGTGGTGGGTCTTGAATGTGTTTATTAGAAGTATGGGCCTTGTTCAGGTGGCAGCAATGAACCAGTGAAAATTCTTGAGGAGGGTAGTTGTGAGTTCCTTGCACTGCTTGGGAATGACCCCTGATGGGGGTGGAGAATGGTTGGATGGGGTCAGGCAAAAAGCAGGTGGTCCAGGTGGGAGAGGATGAGCACTGAGGTCAGAGCAGTGCCTGTGGGACATGTTCCTGTGGCCCCAACAGCACTCAGTGCCCCTGTAGATGTTGGGCAGGAGGCTTCTGGAGTGGATGCAGAGCTGGTACTGCTGCCACGTACTGTGAGAATCAGTGTGAAAGGAGGCAGTGTCAGCCTCATGGATGTACAGTTTGTGCTGCTGTTGGGGTTTGTTGCTCTGTGGTTGTCATCTTGAGTTCCTTAATAATTTTATCTGCTAATTTGTGTTTTGTAAGAGAATTCTGATGTGACACTGGAGCTTTGTCTCACATGTGGCTCCTCCCTCCCTGCCTCCTCCCCGCTCTGTGGGAAGAGTTCTTGGCCACCCCTTCCCTGTCCTTTGATGCTGTGGGGCCCTCCTTAGCCTTCCCATCCAGCGTGGTGAGGATCCGGGCTGCCTTTGGAGTAGGGCTTGGTGATAAGAACATGGCATGTTTGGTGATTTGTTGGAGAAAATTCTCTCACCGACTATGATTCATATACCTAGTGCCTCATGAAAATGCACTACGAAGTGATGGATTTCCCATGTACTTCGAGTTCAGATGGTGGTGTTTAGCAATCTTCTCTGTTCTGTGGTTTGGTGTGATGGGTACATGGGAGGAGGAGAAGTCTAGGGCACACCACATAGATCTAGTAGCTAGTGGGAGGAGAACCTGGAAACTTTGTCTGTGGTCACAGTGACTTGTGGGCAGAGCCCCCGACACCTGAGAGGGTCTGTGTGCACCTGCAGTGTACCTGAGGGATGGCAACTTTAAATAGCAAATAAAGGACAACTTGTGATAGAATGAGAGACTAGGGTGGAAGGAATAAATCTTTGTATGTTAGTTCCTTTAATGGCACATTTTCACTGATGTTTGAGCATGTTCATTCTGTCCTGGTTCCTATGATTATCTAGCTTGTCCTAAGAGGGGGGTCAGGCTTTCTTGGCTTAGGGAGGAAAGTGGAGTTTAGAATACACTGCGTTTGAGGAGCCCCTGGGGCATGCTGGAGGGGGGTGTTGAGTTTGAGTTCTGAGCTGAAGACGGACGCTTGGCAGGTGCCCACTGGAGGAGGCCTGAGATGTGACTGTGTGAAGGTCCCTGCATGAGGTAGAGGACACTGAAATTGGGACCAGGTTACTCTTCTGGTTGGACATCACACAGACTTGGTGTCCAATCTTTCTTCTGTCAGTTACTATTTGAAGACTGTGTGCAGGTTTCTTCATCATCAAGTTTGCTGATCTGTAACATGAATTCACCATGCCTACTGCACACAGTGGTTGCCAAGGTCAAAGAAGATAATATATCCCAGGTGTTCAGAACAGGGCTTGAAGGATGCTGCTGCTGTAGGACCCATGCCCTTGACTTTCTTCTACATCTCTGTCCTGATTTCACACAGCCCCAAGTCTCAGTTTTCATGCAGCCCTTCTCTGTTCCTTCTCTCTCCAAGGGGCCAAGGATCTACTGTCCTGTGTCTTTGATTCCAAGTGTTCCTGCCTCCCCTCTTTCTGGAATTGCCTCTTTCAATCTCCTACCCTTTCCTGGATTTTATTTTTTTTACCAGTTCCTTCTGCTTTGTCCATGTACTATGGTCAATTTACATGTTCATAGAAAACAAAACACCCAGAATCCTTGTCTAACATGTTCAACTGATGTCAAAGGAAATCCAGTCATTGGTTTGGACTGTGAAGGTCTTAGTCTTACATCCAATGACAGTAAATCTTTGAGTTCTTTCACAGAGAATCAACATTTCTAGTGAGGAAGTATTCATATCTCTCTGATCCAGAGTTAGTGTTCTTGTGAACAACTACTTTGTATTACACCACCTCACTGAGTCAGCATGACTTTCATCCTGGTTTTCATGGTGAAGAGTTGGAGGTGGTGCGGGGCTGTGCATGCACTGAGTTCAAGTCCCAGGCCTCCCATTCTGCTGTGTAAATCTGGGCCAGTTAGTTAACCTTCCTGAGCTTCAGCTCTTACTATGTGGAAAATGAAAATATTTTCCAGGCTCTGCCATTTTCACAGTTGTTTTTTTTATTTTTTTATTTTTGACTGGTCAGAAGATATTCCTTGAGGTAGATGCAGAATTGATGTTGAGATTGTGAAATTCTATTGCAGTGTAAGGGGTATATTGTAGATTGTCTTCCCACTTGCGTATAAAGCTTAAGGTAGAACCAGGATTTCTGAGACCCTTTTAAAAGTTTTTAATCCTGGACTCAGCTGGTTCTCGTTAGAATAGTTTTTTGAAAGGTGGGGTATGGATTTACTACCATCCCCTGCTTGCCCACCTTACCCCACCAGGACCCTTCTTCAGTGAGCAACCCCTTCACCCTCTCCTTTCTCCCAGTCTCTCAGCTCTTTCTTTCTTTCTTTCTTTCTTTCTTTCTTTCTTTCTTTCTTTCTTTCTTTCTTTCTTTCTTTCTTTCTTCCTTCCTTCCTTCCTTCCTTCCTTCCTTCCTTCCTTCCTTCCTTCCTTCCTTCCTTCCTTCCTTTCTTTCTTTCTTTCTTTCTTTCTCTCTCTCTCTTCCTCCCCCCCCCCCCTTCACTGTACTTGGGATCTAGCTTAGATTCCATAATATGCCATTGGCAACATGATTGAATATCTTACCCTCTGAACTCCATCATATCCTTGTGGCTCACCCTCACCTCTGTCCTTCTCCCACTCCCCCACTCTTACTCCCACCTGAGTAACAAGGGCAGGGGCTGCCAGTATGAATCCCACAGTGACTCTCACATGGGCCCCTGCAATGCCTGGAAGGCAGAAATCTCCCATTCAATGATAGCCATTTCCATATTTTACCTTCCCCAGGCCTCTAACACTGCAACCCTCACAGTCTAATGTAGAACTAAATTCCTACTTCACAGGAAAAAGTGGAGCCATTAGAGGGAAATCCATCAGCTTCCCACAGTCAAACCTGTGTGTCTATGGGCCACCTTCTCTCTGCCAGGTCTTCAAGTACCCTTCTGTTACAGGGTTAGGTGTTACCCAAATCTCTGAAAGCCAATCTTTCTTCCATTATCTCCCTCTGAGGAAAGGGAGACCATGATAAGCCCTTCTTCTGGTATCTTTCATCATCCTTATCAACAGATATTCAAACTTAGGCCTTTTCCTTCTTCAGTGCAAACAAGCACACACACACACACACACACACACACACACACACACACACACACCCCTCTCTAGTAAAACCCACATTCCCTTCTGGTTTACTTCTTTTTCCTTCTTCACTATGAAAATGTTTGAATAACGGAATAATGTGTTTGTATTTGTAGTCACATTTTTACTCCATCTTCAAGTTAATCCATTCCACTTTGGACTTCA